GAGAGAGAGAAAGAGAGAGAGGGAGAGAGAAATTTATCTCAGGAAAATGGCTCACACACTTATAGAAGCTGGCAAGCCCCAAGTTCCTGGATCAAATGTCAAGCTGGAGGCTTTTCCCAACTCACGCAGGTGCAAGGGCTTATGAGCTCAAGGTTGGCAGGCAGCAGTATATCGGCTGTTGACTCCAATGGATGAAAAATCTAAGATCACCAGGCCAAATGGTGGATTGTTCACTCACAGACAGTTGTACGCAGCACAACAGGATCCAGATCCACAGAAGAGTGGATTTTCCCAAGATGCCCATATAAATATTAGAAGTAGGCAACACCCCTAGGGAAACTCCCTTTCAATGGATTGGCTGCTCAAAACATACACGTCTGATTTCATCATGGGAATAACCATATCACAACTGCTTAAATCACTCAGAATCATGGTCTGGCCAAGTTAAAACACAATCTCAACTATCATAGTCATGGCCTGTTGTCTCTGAGACATTGTGACTTCGTTGTATTTATATTTAATTGGCGATTGTACGTTGGAATGATTTGCCCAAGATTTTCATTTTCTTTGTTTTTTTGGATGTACCTGAGCAATCAGGGGACTGTGCTCCTCTATTTGCTAGCTGCTTGCCCAAATTTTTTTCTTACTCCCTAGGTAGAATTAATAACTTCTTTCTCTGTGTTTTCATTGTGTTAAATATTCCCCAGGAGCCCTGGTAGAGCAGTGATTAAATATTCTTCTGTTAACTGTGGGAGGGAAAAAGATGTGGCAATCTGCTTCCATAAGGATTACAATCTTGCTAACACTATGGGTCCTATAGCGTCGTAGAGTTGGAATTGACTTGATGGGAACAGGTTTTTAGATATTCCCCATTGCTGCATTTATCATATCTTATTATAATGGTTTCCTTCCATTCTCCCTTGCTAGACAATATCTTCTAGAGCACAGGAGATGTGTCTCATTCATCTTAGTACTTGGTGCATTATTGGCACTCAGCAAATACTGATAAATGAATTAACACATGAATGTAGGAATGAACTCTAACCAGTAATCATGTTTCTCCTGAATTTCCAGTTCTGTTAGTTAACTGTAACATTCACATTTTTTCTTTTTAGGCTCCAGAGCTTATGAGGTTTTAAAAATGTTCTCTTCAGAACCACATTTGCAGTTCAGGTATTATTGCTAATAAATAGAAAATACAGGAAATGTTCAGAAAGGGAAAAATCTGAGAAGTCAATGGAGAAAGGAAGGGACATATAATTTAATTATACTGACCTGTAACTGGTTTAGGTGGTTTAATCTTCATTATGTAAACTGGAAGGCTCAACTTAGCATCTCCTTTAAAAACAGCATTCACATCCTACAATAAGGAAGAGTTTCCAACAACCATGAATGTAGGTTCTGCCATGTTTTCTACACACCCTCGTGCCCCCCAGTCAGAGAGTCTGAATGGCTCTGTTATGCAATAAAATTAAGAACTTGGTGTTATGGATTGGATTGTGCACCCCAAAAATATGCATTGTAAATCCTAACCCCTATACCTGTGGTTGTAACCCTGTTTAGGAATAGGATTTTCTTTATATGTTACTAAGGCCATGTCAGTGTAGGGTATGTCTTAAGACAATCACTTTTGAGATTTAGAAAAAAAAAAAAGAGCAGATTAGGCACAGAAGCAAGGAAGCACAGATGAGAGAAGACAGATGTCAGGCCACATGAAGACTGCCAAGGAACCAAGAAACAAAAGCTAAAAAAAAGACAAGTCCCTTCCCCTAGAGCTGACACTGAGAGAAAGCCTTTCGCTAGAGTCAGTGTCCTGAATTTGGACTTCTAGCCTCTCAACTGTGAGAAAAGAAACTTCTGTTCATTAAAGCTACTCACATACTGTTTTTATGTTATGTTGTTGTTGTTGTTGTTAAGTGCCGTAGAGTCATTTCCGACTCATAGCGACCCCATGCACAGCAGAACGAAACACTGCCTGATCCCGTGCCAGCCCCACAATCCCTGCTATACTTGAGCCCATCATCGCAGCCACCGTATCAATCCATCTCCTTGAAGGCCTCCCCCTCTTTCGTCGACCCTCC